TGATTTTAAGCAAATGCTTCCAGGCAAATGTCTTCCAAATACATATTTTTATTCTAGTCTCTCATCTGAGCTTCAGTCCTACATCTCCAACTGCCAGCTGGACATTTGCACCTAAAGAGTTTATGTCAGAGCAAACACTGACTAAAATGAAAATACTAGGAGAAAACTCCCATTTGAAGTACACAAGAAAAGGCACTAAATTCTGATTTAAAAGAGGTGAGCTTGAGCAGATGGCAGAACCCATAGAGATGGTCCAGTAAAATTAAGGCACATATGGCTGGGATTCAGGGCACAATGGCAGTCTGCTAACCAAGAAAGAACACTGCCCCAAGAGACCTGGATTCTCATTACATCTCTGGTGCTAACTCACTATATGGCCCTGGATAAGTCACTTCATCTCTCTGAGTCTGAATTTCCTTGTTTATAAACTGAGGTAGCTAAATGGATTTAAACGTTTATGACACTGACATTTATAAAGTTCAGAAACAGAAAACAAAAACTATAAGATCTCAACAGTAAATGGACAAAGAACACAAACAATTCACAAAAAAAGGACAAAGTGCCAATAAACAAATAGAAAACAATCCATTCTATACAGCAAATGAAAACAAGATGCTATTTTTACCCAGTAAATTAGTAAGATTTTAAGAAAACTGTAGCAATGTAAATTGGAACAGTATTTCTAAAAAATCTAAGATTCAGAAATGGATCAGGACAGGAGACGCATACCCAGGAGTTTTCTGAATTAAGGCCTCAGTTAAGCTGGAGAAGTGGATGGCCTCTCTGGCTAAGTGCTCTAAAGCAGCAGCCAAAGACTGAGGTCTGAGCTTTCTGGAAAAGTACCTCCTGTGAGAGGACGGGGGACAAAGATGGACGAAACAGAGAAAGGCGAGAAACAGGCATAAAGAAAGCTAGAAAGCGCCACGGAGAAAATCTTGTTTGACCCTGTCATGTTCATTAATTTGATGAACATATCCTGAGCATCTGTTATATGCCACACTAATGCTTGAAATGCATTGCTGAATAAAGTATATTGCATGGTCTTGCTGGCATAGAGTTACTGTACAGTAAACAAAAAATAACTCAGTAAATAATTAAATAAGTAATTACAAACTCAGATAAGGGCTTGAAGGAAATAAACATTTAAAAAATAGATAAAGAACTGGCAACAAGTTCAGTATCATTCATATTGACAGAAAAGAGAGTAATCAATGGTCTCAAGTTCACGGTTCTGGGAAGATGAGAACTGAGGTAAGACTACTGGATTTGGATAGAATGAAATCTCTTGTGTCCTTAGAGAGAAGAATAGTGTTTGTGGGAGAAGCCAGCATGGAAATAATTTAATGAAGGAGGGGAAGGGGCAGAAATGGGAGTTGTGATTATTAATCATATTTAAAGGAATTTGGCTATAAAAGGAAGAAGTGAAACGAGGTATCTGGAAAAGATGGCAGACAATTAAAGGAGAAGATTTAAGTGTATCCGAAGGTAGAAAGAGAGAGCCAGTAAAGGGGGTATGGGTGACAACAAAACGAGAGGCATCATGGCATCCTCATCTCCACAGTCAATCTTTACCAAGTCTGGTCCATTCTCCCTGATAAGGTCTCCCTACGAACCTGTCACTCAACAGGTTAGGTTCTTTCCTATTTTAAAAATTAGAACTTTCTTCAATTCCACATTCCTTTCTGATATTGCCACCTCTCTCTTTCCTTTCAATACCAAACTTCTTGAAAGAGTTGTCTGTTTTCACAGCTCATTTCCTTACCTCCTCCTCACTCCTCAAGCTTCTGCCCTTAACCTTGCCTTTGAAACTGTCCTTACCAAAATCATTAATGACCTTACTTTGTAAAATCCAACGTGCAATTTTTAGAATTCGCTTCTTTGGCCCTTTGACAACGATGGACACTGCTGACGAATCCCCTCTCAGAAGCCCTCCTTCCCATTCCATGACAGCGTTCTCTCCCATTTCCCTGCTCACACCTTCTCCATTTCCTGTGAGCCTCATATATTGATGCGCTTCAGGATTTGGGACTTGGCTCTTTGCTTTTCCTACATACTCTCCCCGGGCAACTGCCTCAGTTTCTAACTATATGCTGATAATGACTCTCAAGTATATATTTACTGTCCCTCCTTAGCTTTAGCCTTGTACATCCAACATTCTGTTGGACATTTCCTCTTGGATGTCCCACAATAGTGGGACACTAAAGAAACTGCCCAGAATTTTTTGAGAGACAAGGAGACATATGAGCTAAGGGGCACGGAAAATAAAAGATCTAACAAATTTCTAATTGTAGAATGCCAGAACAAATAAATAGAGAGAATAAAGGAGACGTGCTTTTGAAGAGATAATGGTTGTAAAACTTCTACAAATGAACATAAATCTGCAGGTCCATGAGGTAGAATATATCTAGGTTAAATTAAAAGAAATACATGCTGTGATAGCCTGTCTACAAGATAGCCCCCAATGATCCTCACCTCTTTGTATTCATAACCCCTGTGTAGTTGTCTCCCAACTGTACCCAGGTTGGTCTGTGTGATCAACAGAATATAACAGAAGTGATGGTATGTCACTTCCAAGATTAGATGATAAAAGACACTATGGTTTCCATCTCGGTTATTCTCTCTCGGATCACTTATTCTGGGGAAAGTCAGCCACCATGTCATGAGCAGCCCTACGGGGAGGCCCAGGTGATGAGAAACCGAGGCCTCCTACCAGCAATCCCAAAAGTGAGGAGTTAGGAGCAGATCTTCAAGCCCTGGTCAAGCTTTCAGATGACTACAGTCCCAGCCAACAGTTTGACTATAACCGCTTAAGAGATCACGAGCCAGAAGCACCTAGATAAGCAGCTCCTTGATTCCTGACCCTCAGAAAACCTGTGTGAGATAACAGACACTTAAGCTGCTAAATTTGGGCATAATTTTTACACAGGGACAGGTAACTAATACGCATGCTAAGACCAAACAGTTTTGAATGGCTTACAAAGAGTCTTCTCCATCTGGTCCAGACTCTGTCTCCAGCTTATTACATTTCAAGTACACAAAACTTCTTTCAGTTTTTGCAGTGTACCGTGTTCTCTCCCACCTCCAGCCCTCTGTACAGCTCACGTGATATACCCAGGCCTGACACATTCTTTAACATCTTTTCTACTCCCAACACATATACTCCTTGGGCTAACTTCCCCTCATCATCAGAGCACTCACTGCATTGTATGATAAAGTCTTGTTAAATTGCCTGTCCTTCCATTAGACTGCAGGCTCCAAAAAGGTGGGACAGTATCTGTCTCCTTCATCATTATGCCAGCATGGTTCCTAGCACAAAGAAGGTACTCAGTAAATATTTGTCCCTTACAGCCCACAGGATAGGGACAGGCAGGAGGCGAAAGGTGGAAGAATGTAAACATTCTCAGGCAATGATCCAAATGAATCTTCAGGCTAGCAACTGACCAAGGAACCCGTATATTCCACACAACCTCAGGTTATGGAAAGGCCTGGGATAGGGTCAAGACTCAAAAGTTGGATGGTTTCCAGCTCCTCTTAAGTTATACCCCCTTGTTGTGGTTTCATTATGATTCTTGAATTGGAATCTCTGAACATCAGACACACCCTTTCTTGAAAGCATATTCACAATGGTACTCAAAGGACAAATAGAAATGATTTTTTAAAAATTGTCATCTGTTCTGTATTTGTAGGACAATTCCAGACTATTATGTTGATATTTAAGATCTGATTGTAAGTGGTATTTGTGGTGTGCCTAAATATGAACATATACATACACATATGTACATGTATACATGTCATAAAATATTAACCACTAGTACCCTCTACTGGTGGAAATACCTTATCTGCTCATATGAATGGTCTTATTGCCCTCTAGCGACCACAACCTATAAAGAGAAAATCTAGCAGCAGATGGGAGACTCTCCTTGGCTATAATGATAGGGTTTTATGTTCTTTAAGCATCTAATTTTCTCAGATTCTGGTTTATATTACAGGGGTGCAACTCTCAAGACTCTTGGGGGAACCTCTGGGGAATTTCACACAGCTCTTGCCAGCTGTTAGCGCCAGTCTGAAGCTGCTTTCTCTCCTGCTTCTCATGAACAAGAGGTCAAGGGGAGGCAGAGAAGGCAATGGCTGCACTGGTGAGGGCAAGAACAGCAGCTGTGAACGACTACCCTGGACTCCCCGGGGACTTGGGAGCAGCTTGAAGAACACATGTTGGCCCTCCCTCGCATATTATTCACAGTTGTGTACTGTACTAAAATGGTAATTCAACGCAGTTCCTGACTTACCTCTTAAAATATCTCCAATGCTGTAATAAATGATGTAGCAGCAAATGTTGCTATTATTTTGTTTTTACAAACCATGCTTTGGAAGTTATTTCTACTCAAGATGGAAAAGCCAAGATTTAAGTGAAATGTCGCCTCTTCTATGGAGCCTTTTCTGAATTCCCCAGACGTAAGACTACTCTGTCCTCTGTGCCAGCATATACCTTGTACAGATCAGAATGGTACCATGGACAGTATTTATATGCTTTTATTTTTAACCTATACTATTTTACTACTCCCATTTGTCTACCTGCTTGTTTCTCCACCAAACCCTAAGTTCCTTGAGGTCACAAATCATGTCTTCTTCATTTTTGCACACCCAAGCATCAAGCACACTCAAAACGTTATCCACAGATCATGCTAGTTACAAGTTCATGCAGTAAGTACAGAAACTGAAGCAAGCATTTAAAACTTTGACAAAGTACTTCTACATTTGTTGAGTATAATTTTTTTAAAAAGTAGGGCTTACATTTTGTATATTTTAATTTCATTTTTCTGGTAATTTTTATTATATTTTAAGAGTATTAGTCTGTAACCAATGGAGAATTTTTTAAACAATGATCTCTTACCACAGATAGTTTGAGAAGCACTGATATGATAGATAATGTCTGAGGGAGGGAGGAAAGGAGAAAGAAGGAGATAAAATATAAGCACTTATAAAATTCGGAAGGAACATACCTATCCTTGTTGATTTTAACACTTCCTTGGAGGGTATTTTCTTCTTTAATTCTCGTAAGGCTTCAACTAGATTCTCTTTGGTTTGATCAGGAAGCTCCAACATAGTTTTCCATCTTTTTATGTCTTCTATAACCACAACTCTCTGAGAAAAAGAAAAGTCATTTGGAAAATGGAACATTTTCATTAGAAAGACATCTGCCTTCACCTGAGCTAATGGGGCTCCTATTGACATATGAATTATTGATTATGACCTGAACCAAAGCACAATATATGTGATGGCCCCAAATGATGGGTAATTGCTTAAAAGCAGCTCCTGCTTACTGCAAATCAGGAAGAGGGTTACATCTATTAGGAAAAGTGCAAGTTTTAATCTTACCATGTCAGACACCACTGGGCACTTAGCACTGAGAGGCAGTAAGGAGGGGAAGAAAAGAAAAACGATGCTGAGGTGAATCAACCTTATAGCTCACTTAAGTATCTTAATTCATAGGCAAGGACAGAGAGCAGAGAAGTCATAAAGACATATTTATTTCAACAATAAAAAGCACACTTCAACAGCTCCCTACTTCCTAGATGGTAAAACTCAAACCCTCTCGTTTGAAGAATTTTTTAAAACTTTAAACAAATAAAAAGGTAGAGAATAACTCACTATTTATAATGAAAAAAAGTTAACATTTTGTCATTACACATAAAATAATAAAACACTGTAAAGTTCAAGTCTCCTTACACCCTTCGCCCTTCATTCCCTTCCTTCCGTTTCTAGAAAAAACCACTATCTTAAAGTTGACACGAATCTTTCCATTAAGTGTAAAATATTAACAATTAAGGAATCTGGGTGAAAGGGATGAGGAAGGTCTTTGTACTGTGTTGCAACTTTTCTGTAGTTTTGAAATTATTTCAACTAAGAATTTTTTTTTTAAGTAAACTGGGAGACAAAAAAATAAAGTCGCTTTTATAATTGCACAAAAAAATTTTTTTTTCTTGCTTTTATCAACATTACCCTGGGGAGGTGGGCCCAGGTAGGGACTGGGAAGGGGCACAGGGGCCTCTGATAAATGTCCTGTTTCTCGATCTGGATACTGGTGACACAGGTGTGTTCTCTCTGCGAAAATCTGTTAAGACGTACATATTTGTCTACTTTTCTACATGCATGTGATAGTTCAATAAAAAGCAACCCAAAAAGTCTCAACTCCCTCCCTGGCTGGGGTCTAGCCTAGCTGCTCGTGGTGGGAGAAGGGGATGTCTGGGGACTTCTCTATTTCCCCACCTCTGCTTCTCCTCCTCCCCCATCTGCTTGTTTGCTTTGGTCTTTGGCCCTTCCAGGTTCGAAACTGGGAAAAAAAGAAGCAGTAAGGGAAAGCAAAAGCCTTATTTTTGGTTGTGATGCTACGCTCATCAGGTTTCAGTGCTCTCTAGACTTGGCAGATATTCATGAGATGTTTTTGTGGTTCCGTGGAGAGCTCCCATGGTTGAGATCTCACCTGCAGTTCCCACAACACTAGCAAGGCCTCTTCCAGCCAGCTGCTTACAGGTCCACCCTAAGTCTCCAGTTTCTGGCAACTGCTTCGCCCACTCTCTCTGTAGGGGTCCCACTGCCCTTCCAAGGATCCTTGTGAACTGAGCTCCTTTAATTCAACTCCAGGCCAGTTAGCATTTTCTCCACTACGCCCACATCTTTGCCCTGAAAAACTCTGTGCATAACAGCTTTCCCACAGCAGCCACTTCTCCTTCTTGTGGCATCAGTTGCCACCCTGTTTTTAGACTTTCCCAGGCACAGGTCTGGTCTCTGTGCCCACCAACTCCAGGAACTGAGGTCACGTTCATCCGAGTGAAAATACCATAGCCCTCCCACTTTATCCAAAGGAATTCTATCTCCTCTCTTTCTTTACCTTCAACATTCTTTTTTTTTTTACCTTCAACTTTCTTTATTGCCTAAGGTAGGTGATAGGTTCAGGATTCCAAAACTGGTCTTCATTATCTGCCTTCACAAGTTCTGTATAGATGGTCTAGAATAACATTTGGGAACACCATTTTATAGCTATTCCTTTGTTCTCAGCCTTTAGGAGCCCTAGCCAAAATTGAGACAGAGCCCTTTTTTATGATCCGTTACAATATAAAATAGTTTCAGTGTTAAATGGTATGACAAATAAATCGATGAAGCCAGGTAAGGGATGTTTTCAGTAGGAAGAAGGTGTAAATATAGTGTTCTGCAGCTTGCTTTTTGCACTCAGTATAATTTCTTGATTTACCCATACTGATACGTATAAACCCAGTTGATCTATTTTAATAGTATTGAATATTATTCCATTATTTTTATATACAATGTCTTAGAATTTTAAAATCTAGTCCCCTAATGGATATTTAGGGACTTTTTCCCCCCTCACATTTTCCCTATTATAAACATTGCTTCAATGAACTCCTGCCTATTATACATTCATATGTCTTCCATCCTTTACTTTCAACTTTTTTCTGGGTCATTATGCTTTAATAGCCTATGGCTGCTTTATTTTGCTCCTCCTCCCCTATCCAATCTGAGAGTTTCTATCTTTTAATAGGCATGTTTAATCCATTTGCATTTATTATGGTTACTGATACACTGGACATACTTTCTCTTTGCTTTTTTCTTCTTTTCTTATCTTTTATTTAACAGCCTGAGTTTTCTTTAATCTTGTTTTTTCTTTTATGGTTTGGAAGTTATACATTCTATTTCTATCATTTTAGTGTTTGCCCTTACAATTTTTAAGATACTCAATGAAATCTATACCAGTATCCTCCTCACAAGTCTCTACCTTCTGAAACGCTTATTAGAAATATACATGGTCTCTGCCTGTCCTTCAAGTCTCTTAACTTGTCATATTTCTATTTCTGTGGGATGCATTCTAAGTGATTTCCTCAGATCTAGCTTTCAATTCAGCATTTCTCTCCGTAGCTATGACTTACCTACTTTTAACCTGTTCAATGTGTTTCTTTGTCAACAAATGTGCTTTTTCATTGGACAAATTCTGTTTTTTTCTCTAAATCTGCCTGTTTTCTTTTCATACTATCCTATTCTTATCATTTCTATTACTTTCATTATCCTGTGAACGTTTTAAACATATTTAAGGTCTCTTTCAGACTGTTATCTCTGCTTCTTGGAGTAGAAATCCTATTATTTACATCTGCCTGCTCATCCTCCCTCCTGGTAATTTATTTTATTGTAGAGTTTTGTAATTTTTGACCATGAATTCATCTTTAATGGAGACTGTTTTCCACAGGAGTCCTGTGTACTCTAGGTTGTGAAGTGTCTTAACAGGGAAATCTCACCTTTGCCTTTGCCAAGGCCTTTGGATTTCCCTGGTTCTGGGCCAGTTTTCATGTTAATTTTTCAGCTTTGCAGATAGCACGAAGTTAAAAATATATATACACACATAGTAATAAGTGTGAGGTTCTAATTTATTATGGTCAACTCTTTTTGAACTCAAACCCTGAGATGATACAATCTTCATGCTGATTCCTTGGACTGGTGGATGGAATTTTTCTAGTTCATTTTTCAAAAGCATAGTAGCCCTGTGTTGACTCCCAGCTTCATGTGGCCTGAAGCCTTATCTGCTGTCCCCATACTGGCCCTAAAACCCCAGCCCCTAAACTCTGTACCTGGTTTGCATGGAACTATATACAAGCATACCCTGTTTTATTGCACTTCACTTTATTGTACTTTGCAGATACTGCATTTTTTTTTTTTTAACAAATTGAAGGTTTGTGGCAACCCTGCAATGAGCAAGTCTACAGATGCTGTTTTTCCAACAGCATTTGCTCACTTTGTGTCTCTGTGTCACATTTTGGTAATTCCTGCAACATTTCAAACTTTTTCCATTATTATTATATTTGTTATGATCTGTGATCAGTGACCTTTGATGTTACTATTGTAATTGTTTTGGGGTGCCACAAACCATGCCCATACAAGACAGCAAACTTAACTGATAAATATTCTGACTGTTGCACCAACCAGCCATTTCCCCATCTCTCTCCCTCTCCTTGGGCCTCCTTGTTCCCTGAGACACAACAATATCGAAATTAAGTCAATTAATAGCCCTACAATGGCCTCTAAGTGTTTAAGTGAAAGGAAGAGAAACACGTCTCTCACTTTAAATCAAAAGCTAGAAATGATTAAGCTTAGTGAGGAAGGCATGTTGAAAGCCGAGACAGGCCAAAAGCTAGGCATCTTGCATCAAATAGTTAGCCAAGTCATAAATGCAAAGGAAAAGTTCCTGAAGGAAATTAAATGTGCTACTCCAGTGAACACACAAATGATAAGAAAGCAAAACGGCCTTATTGCTTATATGAGAATGTTTTAGTGGTCTGCACAGATCAAACTAACTACATTCCCGGGGAGGGGGGGTGATGGTGTGATGAATTGGGAGATTGGGATTGACATATATACACTAATATGTATAAAATGGATAACTAATAAGAACCTGCTGTATAAAAAAATAAAATAAAATTCAAAAAAAAATAAAGAAGTATAATTGATATGTTAAGAGAGGCGAGAAATCAGAATCATAAAAAAACAAAAAAACTAACTACAACATTCCCTTAAGCCAAAGCCTAATCTAGAGCAAGGCCCTAACTCTCTTCAATTCTATGAAGGCTGAGAGAGGTGAGGAAACTGCAGAAGAAAAGTTTAAAGCTAGCAGAGGTTGGTTCATAAGGTTTACGGGAAGAAGCCGTCTCTATAACATACAAGGAAGCAGCAAGTGCCTAAGTAAAAGCTGTAGCAAGTAATCCAGAAGATCCATCTAAGATAATCAGTGAAGGTGGCTACACTAAACAACAGATTTTCAATGTAGACAAAACAGCCTCATATTGGAAGAAGATGACATCTCGGACTTGCATAGCTAGAGAGAAATCAATGCCTGGCTTCAAAGCTTCAAAGGGCTGGCTGACGATCTTGTTAGGAGCTAATGCAGCTGGTGACTTGAAGTACAAGCCAATGCTCATTTGCCATTTTGAAAATCCTAGGGCCCTTAATAATTATGCGAAATCTACTCTGCCTGGGCTCTATAAATGTAACAACAAAGCCTAGATGACAGCAAATTTGTTTACAACATGATTTACTGAATATTTTAAGCCCTCTCTCGAGACCTATTACTCCGAAAAAAGATT